CTCTTCCACCTCGGCAGCACACTCGGTTTAAACCTGTGCTGTAGCATGTGGCACATCACAGATGTAGCCTAAACGCAGCAGTCTGCTAGGAATGCTAACAGTTAGCAGCGAATAAAACTGTGGCTTTAATAATTAGCTTGCATATCTACAAGAAACCTTACTGGGATCACCTTATTCGAGAGCAAGATAACCTCCCTTCTCGAACTGAGCAGGGCTAAAATCAAAAGTCATTTCCAACACAATCACAGACATTAAGCGAAAAGCTTGCTCTAACTGCTTTGTACTTGGTGGCACCTGCGGGTCAGTAATACCTCATCCATTTACCCTTTCTTAATGTTAAGTCCCCCCTTCCTGCTCCCCCCAGTGCATCCAGGTGTTTTTTTTCCCTCAAAGCAGAGTTTGAATGCTCCCTTGAGGGCAAAGAGAGCCTTTCCGGGAGCATATTTAGCAGGTATGGGAATTTAGTGCTGGATCATTTACTCTCTTCGAAGACTATGGTAAGATGTCTTTACATCAAATGCACTGGGCCTGTGTGCATCAATAACGGAGAATTACGTTCATTGTGCTTCACAATGTATTGCACAAACACATATCTATCTAACACTTCAGAAGACTAGTTTTTCTTCTTCTTCAACCCTTCCAGTTTAGATAAATATACTGCAGACTTGAAGGCAACGCTCATTTTGATTACTGCTATTTGAGTAGCAAGCAAACTGTTTGTTTAAAGGATGCTCTGCAATTTGAAGGAGAGTTTTGACAAAAATCTTTGGTGAAGGTTAGTGATTGTTTATGATAGGTATACACCATTATATATATACCACTTCATATTCATCTGACATGCATTACTTAAAGAACAAACCCCCTCATACTTACTGAAACAAAACAATCAGAAAGGTTCAGCTGTCTCAAAGATGACAAAAATCCGTTTTATTCTTTTTCTTAGAGCAAAAAACCAAGATATTTTATTTCACTGAACTTTTTCCCATACAATAAAGTATTTTCTAATTATAACAAACAATCTTGCTATGGTTCAAGTATTTGAACATCATTGTTCTTTTTCTCAGGAAGATATTCCATTTACTTCTATAAAGGAATACTGATTTGGAAACCACATTCCCATTTGAAATTTGAACTTGATCATTGCAAGTAAAAAATTAAAAAATATATCCTTTTTTTTTTTTTCCAGGTTTACTCTGCACTTGACAGAGCTTTGGGGATTACCAATTGCATAGTCTGAAGTGATGAATCGCCTCTTTTACCTGATGTTACCTTATTCTAACATGACTTACAGTAAGCCTCTCTCCAGACTCTGCCAGAGAGGACCAAAATCAGGAGTAAAGCTGAAGCTGAAAAGGAAGCAGACATTTATGAGACTGAAGAAGGAAAAGGAAGAGGAAAGCCAATCTACGCATGTTTTCTGCTCCTGCTTTAAAAACTACTAGTTGCACCACCATTAACCTCATTAGTAGAGCAGAGACTCTCCTATCCAGCCACACAACCCTCACTTTCTTAAATTCTCTCTGTACATAAAATTTAGCAGGTGCTCTACCAAAACAGAGAATTTTAAAATGCATTAATACTAGAACAAAAAATAATGTCTCCTTATGGTATTTCATGCTTACAGGTTGCACAGCAGTATAACAGAGATAGTCAGTCAATGAAGACTCAGCTACATTTTTCCCAATGCAGAGAAATATTTCCTTAGAAATCAAAGCACAATAAAGTTAAAAGACAGTTTTTTATTAATAAAAGTATTATCTAATAATTTAGGAACTTAATTTTCATGTTTCCTAAACATGTTATAAACTTAATCCAATGCCAATAGACATTTTGCAATTAAGCAAAAGAGTGGAAAACACTTTGGAGAAGTAATGTGGAAGGAGAAAATTACATACAATCAGGAAATGGATGCTATGCTTCGTATCACAATGCTCTTATCTCTCAAAAGGTAGAAAAGTCAACTCAATGCATTGAGAATTTAACCCTGATAGAATCTATTACTCCCAGACCTACGCTTTACATTTCCGCTATCTTCCATTTTTAAGCAGGATTTGGAAGATTAAAAACCATCCTTTCTTTCATCTTCAGGTTCACACGCACTTTTCCATCTCTGTAGTTCCTGAGAATCATTTATCTTCCACACTTCAGTAAAAGACTTTAGCTTTTTTCTGAAAAAAAAAAAAAAAAAAAACAAGGATAGTTTTGTCATTTAAAGACAAACTCTGAAAGCCCTACAGTCATTTGCAAAATTTTATACACAGTCAAAAATAGCAGTATGCATAGCTCAAAGCATTATGTGAGCCATAAATACAGTGAACAATCAGTTAACATTTTCTTCTATATGTATTACAGCTCTAGGATAGTCAACAATGTAATTTTACAAGTAATCTATAGTACCAGAAGCATCAACAAAACGAAACAGAAGCCTGAGCAGAAATAAACATGAAAGCAAATAAGCCGTATTGTAGTTTGTACAGATACTGATGTTCAGGATTCAGTTCCTATAAATTTGCCCTTGTAGAATCCATAAGAGAAGGAAAGGAGACTGCATTTTCAAAATCACTTAGCACACACATGCTTCCTATGTTCTTTTTAATAACTTTAGATTTAAGAAACACTGATTAGAGTTGTAATAAATAACAATAAAACATTTAAAATGGGTTAGTACACATTCCTGATGAGAAAAGACATCAAGACTGCACAGAATTTCCCAGTGGATTTTCCTAAATAATACGAAGGTGCTTACAAAAGATAACAAGGTAGCTGGCCTGTGGGCATCATGACAGCACAGTATACTGCTACGTACAGGTCTGCGTTTGGTTCCCAGGATCGCATCTGTATTTCTAGACAGGAAGCCATTAAGGTCCCATGGTGAGGAAGGGATTTGTCCGTGGGACCTGACCTTGCCTGCGCAGGCTAGATGCTCCCTGCTCAGGCGCAATGGTAAATTACAGATTTTGTTCTCTTATTTACGAAGTTTTTCTGTCAGCCCAGAAGGCTAGTGCTTTTCTTCTTTAATAAAATATGCAATTGTAAAGTGCTGTGAAGTAATAAAAATTACTGCACTATACTAGAGTCAGCCTAACAATTCTGTTCTTAAACCACAGCAAAATACAAAATAAAACTGCAGATTCATAAAAATATACCAATAATTTTCTGATAATTTGTATTTATTACCACAGATAGACCACAACAAAGTTCATATGTTTTTTTACATTGGTTAATTCCTCTTTTGGGTAAGAGCTACAGAAAAATACGTTGATATTTAGATCACACCCTGGCAATAAAAGGAAATAAAGAGGAATACAGAAAAGAAAATATTTTTATCATGAGCTGCACAGAAGAACGGGAAAAATTAAAAATTATGTAATAGAAAAAGGAATGCGCTGTGAAGTCAGACCCATTCGGTATTTTGTAATTTTTCACGGGCTCAGGCTTGAGGTTCTTATATAGGTGCTCGCAGAGCGAAGGACTGACTGGGCCCAGTGACACAGCGCACAGGCCTGGCAGCTCCCGTGCAGCTGGTGCCACCGTCCCTGACCCC